ACCCCTCATGTTCTACCTTTTGTTGCGTTTCATCCGTGTTAGCTGCAAAACACCATCCCAAAGACACGCTCCTGGAAGAGGGGCCGTGGCAAGGGAAGGGAAGGGAAGGGCTTATTGAAATTATTAATTAGCTTTGTTTTTAAACACGGGCTCGGAGCAGCCTCCGCAGCAGAAGGAATTGTTATTAAACGCCAGCCCTCCGGCAGGCAGGCCATGTGTGCACAGCAGAGCCCGCAGCGCTTGGCTGCCAGATAAAGACGTGATTGTTGTCATCGTGCCTTCGTCCCAGCCTTACTCCTCCTCCTCCTCCTCCTCCTCCTCCCGTGCTCCCACCCACCCTCCACCAGCAGCTCCCAGGAACAAAACCCCCGCGCTCAGCCCAGGCTCGCTCGTGGTGGAGCTGAGAGGAGGAGGAGGAGGAGGAGGGAGACAGACAGAGAGAAACTTGTCTTGGGGATTAATAAGAGGCAGGAGGAGGGAGAGGTGCACACAGGTAAGCTGTGGGCAGGTGCTTTCCCCCAGGCTCTTCTCACCTTGCCTCCAACCCACCTTCTGGTCCACGATGCTCCTGCCCTCTCCAGCCTCTCTTACATGTAAAGCAGCATCTGCTCTTCCTTTTATTTTCTCTCCTCTTGTTGGTTTTTTCTGTTCTTCAGCAGCTGGAGTCTTTGTTCTTTCTCTTTTCTCTGGTTGCAAGAGGTTTTTTTCTCAGCATGGGGCAGGCTGGGATGGAGGGGGGGGATCTTGGGGTTGTAAACTCAGAAGAAAGCCCCGTGTGTGATGGCATCGCAGCCGCTCCCAGGTGCTTTCTGTGGGGACAGTGAGGACCCCCTTGTGTGTCGCCCCACACCAACCTCTACTCTCACACGCTCACAACCCCCCCATGCAGGCTTGGCTTTGGGCTGGGGAGACAGAGCTGGGGGGGCTGCACAGCCTGAGCCATGCCCAGGGCACAGCCCTGCCTTGGAAAGAGGGGGAGAGGGGACAGACACCCCCGGAGCCAGGACATTGTAGCATCAGATCACTGTGTCCTCCCGGTGCTGAGCACAGGGTCCTGGTTTCCAGCTGGATCTGCAGAAGGGCTGGGGGGGCTGCAGGATGCTGTTCCCATGGGAGGGGGGCTGAGCGTATCCCCTCTCCCCAGTGCTGGAGTGGGGAGCAGGGATTTTCCCTGCCCTGTGGAGGGGACCAGCATCCCGCTGCTTTGAGAGTGAGGTGGGAGAGAGCAACCCCCTCAGAGCTTCTGGAGATTAAACCCAGCTCAGTAAACTGGATTTCTGCTCAAAATGTAGGTGGTAAAACCTTTCTCTCCTGCCCGGCAGGCAGAGTTGTATCTGGATCCCATAAACCGTTCCCAGGGCATGTGACACCACTTTTACTGCCTCCATCAGTGAGATTTGAGCCAGCTCTGCTCCAGGCAGGCGGAGAGGAGGTGCAGCCCCCTCCCCACACCGAGAGCTGCTGTGGGGGTCCCGTTCAGATCCTTCTCTTTGTCTCTGCTCCTGCAGAGATGATGGGAGGAAGCAACAGGGCAGAGAAGTTTGTTAAAGTCCTGGGGAAAGGGGTTTGTTGCATGGAAGAGACTCATTCCAAATTTGTTCTTTTCCCACCTGCTTGAGAGTTTTAGGAGAAAAAAAAAAAACATCTACAGGGGAGAAAGTGGAAATTCATCCCCTTGGCAGCTGAACACAAAGCGTGTGGCACGTGAGGGCTTGGAAACTTTCCTGGGAGCCTGAGATCATGGGCCTGCCTTATGTGGTGCTCGGCCGATGGCATCCCGTGAGCTGCCGGAGCTGCCTCCCGGGAATCACCCATTCCTCGGCCATCCCGGGACAGGGAGTGCGGAGCAGAAATGCTGGGAAGAGAGGAAAATGCAGCTGGGGGAGGTTTCCTCTACTTTTGGGAAGAGGATGAGGGGGTGGGATGAGGCAGCAGCAGCTGATAAGGCATCAGAGCAGTTTCCCACCCTTAGAGGAAGCAGAGCCGGAGGGATGGAGACGAGGAGGGGAGCGGGGTGTGTGGGGGGGGCAGGCGGGGGGGCTGGGCTGCCATCCCTTTGGCAACATTTTCCACCACGATTTGCTTTTGTCTGTGTCCAGCCAGTTCCACTGTGTGTGGTGGAGAGATCTATGGGTGGGCTGAGCCTGGAGCAGCCCTGGGAAGGGTTGGGACATGCAGTGAGGAAGGAGGAGGAGGAGGAGGCAGCAGAAAGGTGTTTTCTGCCAGGGTTGCCTTCCCACAGACCCTGCTGTTGGAGGGAGGACTGAACCCGACGAGCCTTTCGCAATGAGTCTGGTGACTGTGGTACAGTGAGGAAATGCTCCTGGCACGCAGAGGGATGGATGCAGGAGCCGCACATCGTCATCCTTATGTCTTGCAGTCCTCGGGCTGAGCCCAAAAGTCTTGCTTAAGAGCCCAGGAGCATGTCTGAGCTGCTCTCTGGCAGGGTCTCCTGGGACACTCGTCCCCTGCATGGACACAACGTTGTCCCTGCAAGAAGAAATACAGTGAGGGCTGAGCCCCAGCCCCAGCCAAGCAGGCTGCCTGCTGATCCACTTCTCACTGGGAAAATGCTGGGAAAGGGCGAGAAGACCGGGTTGTTGCATCACGACTTGGTTTCCCAGGGGACCCTGGGGACGCCTGGGTGACAGCGTGTCTGCCCTCCCCTCAGAGGACAGGCTTGCACTGTATTTAGCCCTTTTCCACCATTCCCAGCTCTCCAGCGCCGCTGGATAAAGAGCTCCCTGTTTCGGTTACAGCTGATCAGACCCAGACTCTTGCAGAGACACAAAATGGGCTGTTGCGGTGGTTGGACATGAGGGAAGCCAAGGAGGGGGCTTTTGTGGTTCCTTTCAGTTATTTTTAACTTGCTCTCCTTGTTCTTCTCCAACGTGCATGTTTCCAGGCTGGATGAGGGCATTTTCCAGCCTGGGGGCTGCAGGGGTGATGGGAATTGGGGATCCCAGTGGGAAAGCTGTGAAGGGATCTAGCAGGGTTATAGGTAACGGGCTGGAAAGGATCCCTGGTCCAGCCAGCTACGCTTTCCTCTCTCCTCCCAAAGTTACAAACTCCTTTTACCCGTCCCAGCCCCTCCACAGGAGCAGGGGTCTCTGATACATCAGTGATAGCTGCTGCTCTCTGCATGTCTAACAGCTGCAAGAGGAGGTGAGGAGAGCAGGAGGCACCCAAGGGAGATCGTTGGGACCTCTGCCCGTGACAAATCCCCTCGTGACCTTTACCCAGCTCAGTCTTGTCCCAGAGGTGGTGATTTTTGCCTGCCCTTGGCACTGGTCGCTGGGCTGGCAGTCAGCACTGCTCTGGAGCTGGGGGCTGGTGAGATGCAGCGAAGAGAAACGATTTGGAAAGCAACCACCGGTGGCATTTGGGGCTGGAATTTCCAGCTGCTGTGCCGGATTTTTGTCGATTGTAGTGGGATGACTGAGGGAGCAGCTGCTTCTTTCTGGGAAAAAAAACCCTGGGCTGGCATCTGTTGGGTGCCTTGGTCTTGCACCCAGGCCAAGCTGGTTGGCCCAGCCCGCAGCTCAGGAGGTGTCAGAACTGTTTTTATCCATGAATTGAGCTTTTTTTCCACACTAGGCAGTTGGTTTCCTGAATGCATTCATTGCTTCATGATTTAACTTTATTCCAGTTGCATGGATTCCTTGTGGGTACCTGGGATCTGAGCTGTCTTGTCCATCAGGGAGTGGTGAGAAAGGTCAAGTGGAGACATTTGCAGATCTCTGGATGCAGATTCAGCAACTGGTGCTTGTGCAGAATCAGGGGATGGGATTTTGAAATCTGGCTTCTTGCATTCACACCAGTAAATTTAACTGCATGAAACGGGATGGAGAACAGACTGCTGACTGTGTTGGGTCCAGGGAGGGCTGGCTTTGAATCTTCCAGCGTGCTGGAGGCAATTGTAAAGCTTGAGGTGGCCTCAGGCTTGTTGCAGCCCCGTTTTCTGGATGCAGGGCTGTGGTGGGGACTGCTGGCTGTGAGCTGGTTTCCCGCAGATCGGTTGGAAGTGGGTCCTGCTTTCCTGAAGCAAGCTGGAGAGAGGGGGGCAGAGTCTCTGAGTGAAGCAAGCTGGAGAGAGGTGGGCAGAGTCTCTGAGGGAGCTGCAGCTTTGCAGGGAGAGGCTGGTGGGGACCAGCAGTGGAGAAGGACCCTGGCAATGATGGGCTGCGATGGGCAGAGGGGCTGTGACAGTCCCCATGGGGACGTGGCAGTGGGTTACAGGCAGTACGGTGGTTACAAGGGGCTGCATCTGCCTCATGACACTTTCCTTCTGTGCTGGCAAATGCCACATGATGCTGCCACTTCTCCAGCCTGGATTTCTGGCTCGCTGACTATTTCTGCTCTACACCCAGTCCCAAAACATCTGCAGCAGTGAAGCAGAGGGGATGGCACAGGCTGTGATGGGCTGGGTTGTTCCTGGGAGGGCTGAGAGCTCAGCCAGCTCCTGAGACCAGCGGGGTGCCCTGTCCCCCACCCTCCCTGTGACATTGCCCAGGGCAGCTGCTGGGTGGCCCAAGCTGAGCAG